CTTTGAACTAGGTTATCTGAGTCCACACTGCCATATATTCCAGTTCAATGCAGATAATGTGGGATTTTATTTAGTTGTGTGGAAGGGGCCTCAGAAGTCTCATTTCAAGTGCCGCCATGGCAGCGTTTCTCAACCTGGGGGTTGGAACCCCTGGGGAGTCGCAAGGGGGTGTCAGAGTGGTCACCAAAACCCATCAGAAAACACAGTATTTTCTGTTGTTCATGGAGATTCTGTGTAGGAAGTTTGGTGCAATTCTATCATTGGTGGGGTTCAGAATGCTCTTTGAGTGTAGGTGAACTATAAATCCCAGCAAATACAACTCCCAAATGTCAAGATTCTATTTTCCCCAAACTCCACCAGTGTTCACATTTGGGCATATTGAGTCTCTGTGTAGAGTTTGGTCCAGACCCAACATTGTTTGAGTCCACAGTGATCTCTGGATGTAGGTGAACTACAACTCCAAAATGAAAGGACACTGCCCACCAAACCCTTCCAGTATTTTCTGTTGGTCATGGGAGTTCTGTGTACCAAGTTTGGTTCAATTTCATCATTGGTGGGGTTCAGAATGCTCTTTGATTGTAGGTGAACTATAAATCCCAGCAACTACAACTCCCAAATGACAAAATCAATTCCCTCCCAACCCCACCAGTATTCAAATGTGGGCATATCGGGTATTTGTGCTAAATTTGGTCCAGCGAATGAAAATACAGCCTGTATATCAGATATTTACATTATAATTCATAACAGTAGTAAAATTACAGTTATGAAGCAGCAACGAAAATAATTTTATGGTTGGAGGTCACCACAACATGAGGAACTGTATTAAGGGGTCATGGCATTAGGAAGGTTGAGAACCACTGCTCTAAGGGACCATGGTGGAGACACTACTTGTAGGCGCAGAAGAGGCTCAGGGATTCTCCATAATACTGTACTTTCACAAGCAAAAGATACTCCTGCCAATAGGGAATGAACCTTGTGGTCAATAATATTTTCTTTTACTTGATGTGTTTGGCATTGTTTTCAGGTCTTCTGGCCCTCAAATTGGGCAAGTGGAAAGTTTGATTTAGACGTAAATAAAAGGTATAGTTGAAGCTAGGATTGCAAGAAGGGAGTATAAAGCTGGAAGTCTTGGCAATCTGTAGAAAAAACATCTTTTGCCATAGCTGTGAAGGTTACTCTTGATGGAACATCTTGTCTTAGAGGTGGACATGCCATTTGTGTTATTGGAAGTTGCATGCTTTTGTTTTGTTTTGTTTTGGATGTGTACTTCTCCTTGTCAGATTATGACAGTCGTTCACAATCAAATATTTCAAGGTATTTCATGTCACGGCTTATGAAAACTTTTCAAGAAAATCTTCCAAATCTTGTGAGAAACAAATCGCACCCTCTGAGGGGAGTTTGTTGTCCAATTTAACTCAGCAGCGAAAAAGAATACAATTTAATTTTCTTTTGGCAGAATGGCATAATCTTCACCCCTGCCCCCAGAACACTGAAGAGACAATTGGCGACATCTCCATGGAAAAGGAATAGCTGTCTGGTGAAGTTAGACGCACCTCATCTCCTGTGTTTGTCCCCCCCACTTGTCACAGCCATTCAGTTTAACTCCATGGCTTTCTTAGTGCAAGACGTCCTCCTGGTGATATGCCTTTGGTAACCTCATCAGACAGGTTCTCCATTCTTATAAACGTAGCCAATATGTTATTTCAAGGTGACATGGGAGTTCGGGGCAGGAGTTTTGTGAGAGTTGATGGTTTTGTCAAGGCGTTGATGGGCAGTGGGTCAGCCCCTCAAGGGAGGAAGAGCTTCCACATCGCATCTTTGCATTGATGTTATTGTGTTCATTGGATGGACTTCTGTGTACTTCTCTTAATAATGCCATACCTAAATGCTAATCTGATTGATGGCCTCATTTATGGTTAGGGTGTTGTCTTGGATTCAGGATTGAGATTTGGAAAGGATAGGACCAAGCATTGAAAAATTAGAAATGAAACCTGTTTTTAGGCAAATGGGAAGGGTATTTGTTCACAATAGTGATTTTTATACATTTACATGTTTGAATATCTTTGGTAACTTCAAAGGTGACTTTTAGGAAGCTTTATCTCAGGAGTCCTCAAACTAAGGCCCGGGGGCCAGATACGGCCCTCCAAGGTTATTTACCTGAAACGATTTGAAACGATTAGAAAGCACACAATAACAACAATCCTATCTCATCAGCCAAATCAGGCCCACACTTCCCATTGAAATACGAATAAGTTTATATTTGTTAAAATTGTTCTTCATTTTAATTATTACATTGTTTTTAAGTGTTTTTTGCACTACAAATGAGGTATGTGCATTGTGCATGGGAATTCATTTGTATTTCTTTTCCAAATTATAATCCGGCCCTCCAACAGTTTGAGGGACTGTGACCTGGCCCTTTGTTTTAAAAGTTTGAGGACCCCTGCTTTATCTAATATGGTGATTTTTTTTACCATCATTCCCAACTGTCCTAGCCAGTGATCATGAGAGCTAGGGCTAATAGGCATTGTAGTTCATAACTAGAGTATATTGGGTTTGGGGAAGGCAGGTTCACAGGCTACAGCACAGCCCAACCAAAAAAAAATAAATATGTTATTGATGTTTTAATTTTTAGGCTTGTTCCTGGGGCTATTTGAAGCACTGATTCAGAAAATTGTATTGGATAGACCACATCAGCTCTAGTTTCTTAGATATGGCCACCATAGTTTTCTATGGGCAAGCAGATAGCAACTGATGTATGGCAGATGTTCTGTATCTCAAGAACTAGGGGGAAATATTGCCATTTTTGGAATCAAATATAACCGGAAACAGGTCTACAATCTGAGGAACCAAAACATGTGTTGCCCTGTGTAGTAGATGACTTCTGAGCTATAATTGTGTATCTGGGTCCAGTCTGTGGAGTTTGAGGTTCCTGGGGAAAATAAGCAGCCAATCTCACTATCTACATATAGCACTAGAGCAAAAAATGGGACACTAAACCCAAAGATGTTCATATTATGCTGCTCCTCTTGCAGAAGCAAAAGCACAACCACTGCTGTGGACTCTATATACAGAGCTACATGATTCTGTGGCTGCTTTCCTTGTGCATTTGGGTTTTGGTTTCTAACAAACAGTTCTAAACACATTATTAAATTTCTCCAAACTATGGTGACAGTGCAAGTATTCAGAAAAACATGATGAATACCATGAGGTTCGTAGTTTTCCACCACCACCTCTTCAGATTCCCTTGTGGCCCAGATGTCCCACAACGATGTGCGGTATCACAGTGATGTGGAAACTGGTTCCCTCCACATTCTTCCCACACTGATCTGGTAATGAATAGATTGGAACTATGTGGTTGGGCCAAAAACATGTGGTTCCTTGCCTCATAGAAATTACAAGATGATGTTTGTGTAGAACAACCACATGATGACCTAGATGACACAAACAGAATATATGAAATGTATCCCTCAACTTTAATGCTTTGAATGTGTCACTCATAGTGATTCAGATAATTGGTCCATTTAGCTCCACTTTCTGCCAGTAGTACCCTAGAGCAGATTTCTCCAATATGATGACCTCTGTGTGATATGAACCCCTAAGTCTTATCATCCCCAGAATGAATCAATGGCATCTAGTTAGGGAAGGGTGTCTAAGATATCCTGGCAGTTGTTTTGTAAGTATTTCTGCTGGAGATCCTTTGGAATGAAAACATTGCAGAATACCTCACAACCTCTGAGGATGCTTGCCATAGATGCAGGCGAAACATCAGGAGAGAATGCTTCTAGAACATGGCCATATAGCCCGAAAAACCTACAACAACCCACGGCAGAATAAATTTTATGGGAGCAAAATAAGTCTACTACTGAGTTATGGTCAGTAGGAAAGGATTCTGTGGTTGAGTGCAGAGCTTGGGCAGTTATTTTTTGGGCTACATCCCAGCCAGCATGTTCAGTGGGCTTCTGGAAGTTGTTAAAAAAAAAAAGGTAAATATTTCAAGCCCTAGCTTGAGCAATCCTACATGTAAAAGCATTTAAGAGTCGGACAAATTATTAAGCCAAATTTTGGAGCACTGTGAAATGAAGAATAAAAATGTTGATTAAATATATTTCTCAGGGCTTTTACATGAAATATTGGAGCCTTCGGTAGCACAGTGGGTTAAACCGCTGAGCTGCTGAACTTGTTGACCGAAAGGTCACAGGTTCCCGCTGTCAGCCCCAGCTTCTGCCAACCATGTTTGAAAGCATGCAAATGCGAGTAGAACAATAGGTACCGCTCCGACAGGAAGTTAACGGTGCTCCATGCAGTCATGCCGGCCACATGACCTTGGAGGTGTCTACAGACGCCAGCTCTTTGGCGTATAAATGGAGATGAGCACCAACCCCCAGAATTGGACACAACTGGACTTAATGTCATGGGAAAACCTTTATCTTTTATTGCTTTACTTGCTTGAAAGTTTGTTTCACTCAATTTCTGCACCTCATCCAGCACTTTGTAGTGTTAGTCAGTCTTCTTTGCACTTTCCACCCTGGTTTCCTCCATTGACATTGAGGTGATGGGAGCTGTAGGCCTATGTGTCTGGAGGTCTCAGACATGGGAAAACCAGTATTATAGGTAATGTGGAGAGGACAGGTATGAACTTATCTGACAACATGCAGGTGCTGCCACTACAGGTAAACAGTCCAGAGTGATGAGACTTCATGTTGGGACTTTCAACCAAGCTTGAATCATTGAACCAAGGTTGAACTGGGTGCATCACTGGTTTTGTTTGGCATTCTTATTTGGAAGCTATGTTTGCAGGGGATGACTAAAAAAGACAGGTTCACTCTTTCACTTTTCCATCATTGATGATCCACAAAACGTTGGAAAGACAAAAAACAGACATCCCAAGTAGTTGGGTTAGATTAATTAATTTTTCACCCTGGAAAAATTAAATCGTCTCCTATTGTAGAAGCTGAAACTTATTTGCCTTTGGGGGCTACCCCATTGTTCTCTTTTGTTAGGGTAAACCTGGCTCTTGCTTACACAGAGCTGACAGAAGAGTTGTGCCGTCTGAGAAACCTGAGTTCTTTGCAAAGCCAGATTCTTCGGACGCTTATGCAAGAGCAAACCATCAGTGGCGGTGAGTAAGAATCAAAGAGGAGATGGTGGAGGATTTGCAGAATTTGATAGCAGTTCAAAGGATATCAAAACTTCAAACATAAATGTGTAAACTTGGGTGTTTGATTCCTTAAGTGAGACTACAACCTGAATCCTCTTGGTGACGTACAATGGCATAATGTTAATGTGGGATCTTGCAGGTCAGTGCAAGGTCTTGGCCATTATGTGCACGCACATGCATGCATACATATGGCCTAGAAAATGTACTAGAAAGACTCAAAGGCAGGGAGCAGAGGAGATCCAGTCCGGAGACAAGCCCCAGGGTAAGGGTGCCTGATTCCCTTTCCCCTCCTCCTCCTCCTCTTCTTCCTCCCCGTGGCTCCGGTGGGGTGGGGGGGACCCACAAAACAGCGGGTCCGCAATAAGCGAACTGTGAAGTAGCAGGGGAACACTGTACTTTTATTTTTAACAGTGGTTTCTTTAGGACTTTGGGGGAAGGAAGTGGGTATTCCCACAGTTTTCCAGTCCAGGCACCTGAAATAGTGGGTTTATCCCATGCTTTTCAAGAAGGTGCGGAATAAACCCATTGTCAAATTAATTCGCCACAAACCAGGGTTTTCCTGGTTTGCGGTGAATTAATCACAGGTTGCCCAGAACATTATCTGGACAGCCTCCTTTTTAGTGCGGAAGTTTCCGCAAAAAAGGGGCTGCCTAGCTTCTTTTTTGCGGAGTAATGAAGTTCCTGAGTAATGAAAATGTGCACTGTGATTTCACCATAGATTTATTTAATGGGATTACCGTATGGGTATTGTTATTTCCATTGTCTTTTCTAACGTCTGTAGCATGAATTGTCTTTTATCTCTCTCACTGTTAGACATACATGGGCAGCAACCCAACCTCCCCTCAGTGTAGTATAAATGTGTGTGTTCCCTACAGCTTGGAACATCTATTCCTTCTCCAAGGTAGAGCCTGGCTCTCCTCTTACTTGTTTCTGATCCTTTCCAGGCCAGCGGCACTCTCCCCATTCCCAGCGGCATTCGCCTGCCCACCAACGCCGTTCTCCAGCTCCTCAGTGCACTTCCCCAGCTCAGCAAGGAAGACCCTCCATCCCTCAATGCCAGTCTCCGGCCCTACAGAGACGGTCTCCAGCACCACCCTGTCAGTCTCCAGCTCATCAGCGCCGCTCCCCAGCTCCACCTCCTTGCCAGTCACCCGTCTCTCAGCGTCGTTCTCCGGCTCCGCCTTCTAACCCGTCTCCTGCCCAGCAGCGTTGCTCACCATCCCTCAATTGTTCATCCCCTGCCATCAGTTCACAACACAGGTCTCCCGGTGGCGAGAGAAGCATTATGGATCTGGGCTATTCCAGGCCCTCGAGCCACCACATCAAAGCAAGCTTCCAAGGCCGTCGGAGCTACTCGGAGGTGAGCGATGCGGCTTTGTACCAGCAGAACCGCTCTCTCTGGCTGCAGCCTGAAGCTTCCACCTTACCAAAGCACCGTCCCTACGGTGAGGTTTACGCCAGAGACGCCTTTGAAGAGCACTTGCGCTTCGAGAAGCAGTCCTCAGACGAAGACGACTGGGCCCTCCCAAGTCCCCCCAGCCCTGAAGCAGGGGGCATCCGCTGCGCCTCTTTCTGTGCAGGGTTCCCCATCCCCGACACCTCCATGCACCGGACTGATGCCTCGTACTCCAGGGCTGAACATGCCCAGTCCTGGCCCTCAATCAATGTAAGCAATACCAGTGCCATCTGTGTTCTGTGCCCTCCCTTGCCCCGATTTAGGTGCACTGTGTCAAATTACTAAGGTACAATCAAATACCCATTCTTGTTTTGCCTCATTCATTTTCCATCCAGATAAAGGTTGTGGAAGGCTGGTGGGAAGAGGGGGGGATCTGCAATATTTGAATGTTTCTTATGTGAATGCCTCAAACCCAAATATGTTGTCAGCATGGATTCTTGGTGAAAGAGTAAAGATTATGAAGGCTGCTGTTTCTGTGGTGATGGTAGCCATCATGAAACTATTAAACTGGTGGATTGTAGTCCACAGAGGATATGATTTACCACCTTTGAACAATGGGGTGATTGATTGACAAGATCTCATGGATCTTGGATTATGGAGCTAGAGGGTCATATATTGTAGGTTTTTTTTTCATTTTCAGGGCAACATATAGTTCACTGAGTGGTAAAGTAATATTTCTGTTTAATAGTGAGATAATACTAAATCATATGCATCTGTGATCCATTGAAACCCAATCCATTTTAGCAGTTCTGGAATTCTGTCTCATTTGAACACACTTTCTTCTCTGCCTCATCCCCATCGCCACCACTTATTAGCTGTTCTCATTTTGACCAGGGACCACTCTCCAACATTACAGTACTTATTGTGGGTGTTACATTCCAGGATCACCTGCAATTGGTGAAATTCCACAAAGTAGGGATGCCCCCTCCCCTCCTCGCCCTCCTTAGTTTCCTCTTCCTCCTCCTTGTTGCCACCTGGGCCTCTTGCTGCCGCTTGGGCCTTGCGATTGAAGAGGCGTTGCGGAGCCCAAGTGGCAGCAAGAGGCCGAGGTGGCAACAAGGAGGAGGAAGAGGAAGCTAAGGAGGGCGAGGAGGAAAGAAAAGCCATCCCCTCGCCCTCTTTACCTTCCTCTTCCTCCTCCTCGTTACTGCCTGGACCTCTTGCCGCCACTTGGACCCCGTGATTAAGGAGGAGGTGGAGGTGTCACGGCGCCCAAGCCATGGCAAGAGGCCCAGGCAGCAATGAGGAGGAGGAAGAGGAAGGTAAGGAGGGTGAGGGGGTGGCTCAATACAGTGTTCCCTCACTACTTAATTAAAAAAAAACCACGAAACAGCGATTTCGCAATAAGTTAACCGTGAAGTAGCAAGGGAACATTGTAGTATCCAAAAGGTTACAAATCCATTTTTAGTGAACTTTACATTTGGTTTGGTTATTTGGGGTGCTGATTCACAAAATGTCAATGGATAGACCACATCAGCTCTAGTTTCTGATACAGAACATATGCCATTCAGCAGTAGGCATCTACTCGTCCACAAAAAACCATATTTAATAATCTAGAGCCGCTGACTTTATTTTAGATCTCGCGACCCACAGGTTGGGAACCACTGTTTCCGAGTGACAGATAGGAAAAGGGGAGGGATTGGCTAGAGTTTGCCTATTAGGAATGCACTACCAGGTGTTAATGATGACTGAAATTAGGCATTACAGAAGGTTCAACCCAGTAATGTGCAGATGTTGGAGAAGTTCCTCCTTTTAGCCTAGAACTCCTTGAACCCTATGGCTAATAATTTTCCTGTCTGTGGATGTCAGGAGCTTTGTGTGCAAAAGAGTAACATTCTTATGCTGTGATTAATATATTGCTAACTGTTTTAGGAGCAAAATCTATACCATCTGATTGTAAGGGAGTACTTGAAGAATGCACAAAAACATTGTATAAGACTAACCTAAGTCTTCAACCCAATGAGCTGTTAGTTACCTAAAATAATTCTCCTCTATCTTTTTATTTTCTGTACCAGTCGCTTCCAACCTTTGGTCCCCTAGGTGTTCTGCTCCTAGAATTTCCTACAGTTGACCAAGTTGGCTTCTGGGAACTGAGGGCCATAACACCTGGAGGACCAAAGATGGTGGATCACTCTATATAATGTGAGTGCTTCAAATGCCTTTCAAGTGTCCTGCTCTTGTAGAAAGGCAAAATGCAATAAATAAATAAAATAATCTAAATTCACATAGTATAAAAACACAGTATATAAACATTGAAATTATCTATAGCTTTATTTTTACAACTGGATGGCTACTACTGGATGGCTACTACTACTACTGTTTCATCATGTCCTAAATAAGTTACCAAAAAACCTTAGTTCACAGTTCTGTGCATCCCCTTCAGGAATTTCCCAGAGCCACTTACGGTATGTTCTTTCCCTTCTATCGGAGCTCCCTTTCTGTGTACCTAAAACTATCATAAACTTCTCTCTTTAAAAAGGGACCAGTGTAAGAGGGAAAACATATGACTTGCTGTAAAAAGCTCTTTTTCACAGCATAGAAGATTAACCTCCACATAGTGGCTTATTTATTTATTTTTTGCATGTGACCTTGCACAAATGTATTTTGCTGATCAGGAGTATACATGAGAGGTTCGGTTTTCAGAATACGTTGAGCTCTCATTTCATCTAAAAATCATAAATATTTATTATTGTGGGTTTATTTAAAAAGTGACATTTTCCTCTAATGTCCATTCCTTCTCCTACTCTGTTATCCTGCAGTTGCTGATGGAGACGGTAGACTCTGACATCCGAAGCTGCCCTCTCTGCCAGGTGGCCTTCCCCATTGGTTACCCAGACGATGCTTTGATAAAACATATTGACTCACACCTGGAGAACAGTAAGATCTGAGGCCTGGGCTGCCCTCCTTCCTCTTCTGGCTTCCTTAATGAGACCTGCCCACCTCACCCCACCCCACCCGTCTTGGATGCTGCATGAAAAGTGGTGGTGCAACAGGGGCTCTCTCTAAAATACCTCCAAGTCTCCGGCAGACTGAACCATGAAGAATTTTGCCTCCCTCTTTTGTCCTCTTCTCTTTGCCTTGGTTTGTAAAGTGGGTTTTGCCTCTCCTTCCTGCTCTTTCTGAGCAGGACTTGCAATATTTCTCCAATGGTTGGACCATCTCTGGAGGTAGGGGAGGGGTAAGGAATATCCTCGAACCAGGCTGAGCAGGGCATAACAACCCAACAGCTCAGAAGTGAGGTTGCCTTCTGGGGGGCTCTCTCTACATGGTTCAGTTTGGGTGTCTCTGGAAGATCTCAGGGTAGGATGAGTGAGAAGTCACACCTGGTTGCGTGTTTTGGGGTGGGATGCAGGAACAGACAAGATGGACTGCAATCGACTGAGGGCACAGCCTGCCACTCAGAAGATAAGAAAGCGAAAGGTTTCATTTTGTGCCCGTCTTGTGGAGGGATATCCAAGTGGGTCAGATCTCCCCACCTTTTCAGCACCTAAGAAGGGCATCTGGGTCGGTCAATTATCGGACATAGAAAGCCTTGGCCTCCAGTCACTGGTTCAAGTGTCTTCGTCTTGGTCTTTTACATTAAAAGGCTACTTTTAACGATGCTGCTGAGAAATAGAGCCAACTTCCAGAGGTGTAGCATGGACGTTCTTATGTTTTTGCACTGGACATTATAACACACAAAGCTTTCCCCACCGCCACTTCCAAAGGAGCTCCTCCTGGCCTCCCATGCTATTTTCTTGTGTGTTGCACTAGAGGAACTGTGCGTCCCTGACTGGGTAGAGCTCCAGGAAGTGTCCCCGCGTGACTGTCCGTGTTCTCTTTTGGTGACTGTTTTCCGCCTTTCTCATAAACACCCTTCTCACCTTGCTTTAGATAGTTCCTGTATAACAAGAATGGTACTCACCACATTCTGCCTCATAAATCTCTCGCAATGACAGCATGTTGACACTGTTTTCGACAACAGCATAAATGTAAACACACTTTCCATATCTGACACCCATGGTTTCATTCTTTCTCTTTCTCTGGCCTTACTGAGCATATTTTTTGCTGTACTGATCTAAAACTACAGGCATGTTCCGGTTGATCTCTTCCTTCCGGATGTGTGGTGCCTCCATATTGTGAGAATTGTCTCCTTTAAGAACAGCCTGTGCATACATCAGGCTTTGCTGAAAAAGTAAAAAAAGAAAAAAAAAGAGCTGCACGGAAATTCTCCTCTTTAGGCAACTGTCTTCCTATCACCAGGTTCTTTATTAACAAATGTATGTGTTGAGATTTATAGACTGCCTTATCCCAAGAGGTCTCAGGCTACCCAGTGGCAAATAGACACGAGCCTTTGTGACTCACTATCTAATTCATGTGGAACGTAAGAGGAGAATGGAATTTTAAAAATGAGACATGGAATTGAAATATGTTTTATTAATATTTTGTTCTTTTATGCTCACTCCCATAGAGCTAGTTGGAACCCAGTCCAGTTTCTGTTTCTGTAGATTTGAACCTATCACAACAGTGTTGTTTTCCTCCTTTTATCTTGAGTATGATCTCCCTCTGTCAAGGTTTCAAATTTCCACATTTCCTTTCTTTGATTTCTATTTTTACTCCTCATTCAGTATGTCCACATAAAATTCTCCACCCCTTACACTGAATCTTGTCTGTCCTAAGGGTACAATGATGGCAGACCCATGTTTTCAAAGGTGAATTACTGCTAGATTTCTATAAAACTAAGTGTGGAGAAGTGATTCCAGATGGGGAAGTGGCTGGCAATAGGGTGAAGTTGAACCTTTCCTTGTCCACTTCTTCTCTCCTTTAATTGAACACCCTGCCTCTGGCTGTTTATCTCCTAGCCAGACTTAGGTCCAGTCCTGGAGATCTTACTATGGGATACAGAATGTATGGCATTCTAGATGCTGTGGGACTGCAACCGCTACCATCGCTCGCTACTGAATGTGTAGGCATGTACTGATGGGAGTTGCTATCCAGCTTCATCTGAAGGGCCACATGTCCCCCATCCTTGTCTTGCTAGATACTTTGTAAAAGTGAATCCAATTTTTCTTACAAATGTATGCTAAAAATAAGTAAGATTCCATGGGACATGTCACTTTGTCTCAGCCACTGAACATTTACAAATTGTGTGTCTCTTTATATACAAGGGCTTGAAGTCGATTCCTGGTCTTACCTAAAGAAGGCCCATTGAAGAAATGGGATGTACCTATGTGTTGCTTTATTACACTACATACCACAATTTTTGTTCCTGGGTTATAAATGTCATTTCCTAATTGGTTCTATTATAAAAATACAGAAAAAGGTTTATTAAACTTTTTATGGGACATCCTGCAGAATATTTTGTTATAGATTTTCAGTGAATATCTCATCGAGCCTCAACCAATTCAACATAGTTTGTGACAGCCACAAAAATTAAGTTTATTGAGTACAACAACTACTTTCAAAGTATATACTGCACAATTAAACAGGAAATAACACTTTCAAACCAGGAACAGATTTTTTGTCAAATTGTGTTACATAGTGTTATTCAACAATTCATTGAATGCGTCTACTCTTCTTAGGCCTAATAAGCAGGATTCCAGTCAAAGTCTCTAAGAACCTCACTAACTTCACATTAATCTCTTCTAAGAAATAAGTCTAGTTTAAGAGGTAAACAACCTGTCAAGAATTTTACAACCCAATAAGGACTGGACAGTTGTTATATATCCTCACTCATTAAGGTAGCCTCTCTCAACCTGGAACTCTCCAGATGTATTTGACTCCACTTAATTCTTCCCATTGCCACATTAGGAATCATGAGAGCCAGGTTGGAGAAGACCAGCTTAAGGAATACATTTTTCAAGGACCAGGACCACTTACCTTGGTTTTCATTTTCATCTGGGCACTCCTATTGAATGGAATGATAATGTACCCAAGTCCCTTGCAAATATAGTGGATGTTCTAACATGTTGTTTCTTATTTATACATTCTGAATTTGTTCACCGGTCATGTTTTTGCCATGCCATCCCAGGACAGTTATGGGGCTCTTCCACATCAACTTGTTTGAAGGTTCTCCAAAAGTGTTGTCCCCACAGACTGTGGTAAAAGAGGCACAGAAAACTTGTATTAAGTAGAGTTGATGGACATCCAGTCTTACTCTTGTCTTGGTCAGATTTGTAGCCTTTCTCGTCTTACTTTTCCCCAGTTAGAAGGTTCACATGTTGGTTGTGCAAGAAGAGATGTCTTCTGGGAAGCTGGCCTTTGCAGAACATATACTTTACTCTCTGTCAGCTGACTTTGGATCTGAGTTTAACAGCCTGTTCCGCTATCATCTGGGAAGTAGTTGGAAATGGAATTCAGGGATGTATTTTCCACTCATTGTAATAGTATCTATTTTGAGAAAAATTCTTGCTGAGTCTCCCACTCTAGTGACTTGTAATGTCTCCAGAGCAGCCTGATATAATTCCTCACTTTACTACATGGCAGGGCTGCTTCTGCTTGAGCCAGGTCAACATTATTTTCCCTCATCTTTATCACCAAAGTTTAGTGACACAGTTGCCACATGGAGCCATGGTGAATCTTCCTTTATGAGAATGTGTTGTGTAGATACCTCTGCAAAGCGGTCTTCATCTAAAATTGTATAGTAGTAAAAAGGTGTCTGGTAAATGCAGTGATTTTCCTCACATATGTGCACAATTCACTGAGTGGATCTATTTAAAATGGAGCTATTCACTTGGCACCCATGTTGTATGGGCCTTCCCTCATACAGGCACTGAGAACTAGCCACGGAAACATTTCATCCTCATGAAATCATATTCTTTCTCTGATTATATGGGGATTTTTTTAAAAGTGGGAAAACAGGCAAGTTCTATGAACAAAGCTGAAAATGCGTCTTTCCCACTTGTCACCTTTCTTCCATTTCTGTTTGCGAAATCTACCTCAGGACTGATGAGAAGCAGGAATGATACAAGCAAAAAATGTGGGGGTGGGTGGGCACTAAGTGACGGGAAGATATTTTTAATTTTTTGAAAATCTGTAGCCTACCATATTCGAAGGGCTTTAATATTCTCCAAACTCTTTTTCCTTTCCTTGAAGCATTACAATATTGGAAACAAAAAGAGATGGCAAGCTCAAGATGTTGATGAGAAGGGGAAGCAAAGGCCATGAACAGAAGAAATATTCTCTGCCCAAGATTCATTATACCTGTTTAGGCTGGTTTAGCATAGTGACTAAACTGAGTAGTGAACTATAACAGCTCTGAATGAAACTTCACATTTAACACATATATCTCATGTAGGGTCCTTCTACACAACCCTATATCCCAGAATATCAAGGCAGAAAATCCCACATTATCTGAGTGTGGACTCAGTGCCTTTCCACACAACCCTATATCCCAGAATATCAAGGCAGAAAATTCCACAATAACGGCTTTGAACTGGGTTATCTGAGTCTACACTCGGATAATGTGAGATTTCCTGCTTTGATATTCTGGGATATAGGGCTGTGTGGAAGGGCCCTCAGATAACCCAGGTCAAAGCAGATATTGTGGGATTTTCTGTCTCAATTTTCTGGGATAAAGGGCTATGTAGAACGGCCCATTGGTATTTTGGAACCACCAGTGACTTCAAAGTGTTTCCAGATGAAGGAACCATCTTTCTCACACACAGAAGTGTATGGGGTGAGTGGGCAGATGTCATCTTCAGTTTATGAAATATTTTCCTCATTTTTCCATTGCTTCTCCAGTCTTTTTTAATCTGCCAGAGAAAAAGCTGTTTAAGGGGTGGTGAAGAAGGAAGAAGTGGCTCCAATATTCCTTTTTGTTACCCAGGAAGCATCTCCCCCTTTTTAGAAGCACCCCAAGACTCAACAGACAACTATAAATGTATAACTGGAGAATGGCTTTTGTACAGTCACAGTACATTGGTGTAGGAATCACTTGCAGTAAAATAAACTGGTTTTGTGATTTGTGTAGGAAGCAAAAGTTAGAAGATCAGCACTGTCTTTAACTAAGCCAGAGGTTCTCAACCTGTGGGTCTCCAGATGTTTTGGCCTTCAACTCCCAGAAATGCTAACAGCCGGTAAACTGGTTAGGATTTCTGGGAGCTGTAAGCCGAAACACCTGGGGACCCACAGGTTGAGAACCACTAAACTAAGCCTTATAGCAGTGGTTCTCAACCTGTGGATCCCTAGGTGTTTTGGCCAACAATTCTCAGAAATCTTAGCCAGTTTACCAGCTGTTAGGATTTCTGGGAGTTGAAGGCCAAAACATCTGGGGACCCAAAGATTGAGAACCACTGCCTTATAGTATAGGGTCTACCAATGGCTAAACAGAATGTAAGTTTTCTCTGGTTACCATTTTTCAGGGGAGGCGGGCTAGAGCTTGGAAATGTTATATTTTTCAACTATTGCTGCTAGAATCGCTTATGCTGATTGGGTGATTCTGAGATTTCCAGGCCACAAATCTAACATTTCCAGGCTCTGGTCAGCTGCTGCTTTCATGCCTTGCTTGACGGGTTCCCAGGAACATCTGCATGGCTGTTGTCAAGAAGAGAACATTGGCGTAAATTGAAATTTTTGGATATAAACCCTCAAGACAGCTTTTTGGTTCTTAGAACCATTGGAATGGATTTGAGAACTCTGTAAACAAAGAAAACCAATTGTTTTTCCAATGTGTGTTGTTAAAATATGGGGTGGGGAGACACATTATTTTACACTGTTACAATGCATGTTTATGTGAATACTCTTCCAGCCCTTTGTTCGTCTTTTGTTCCTTATTAACCAACACATAGGAGTCTCACAATGGGTAATATAGATTAGATTTGCCTTTGGGCAGGATCAAAATAGTCTATGATGATGATTATTGTATTGTCGAAGGCTTTCATGGCCGGAATCACTGGGTTCACACCTAGCTGCAGCAGATAAAAGTCCTTTGGTTCTTGTGGGTTTTTTCGGGTTATAGGGCCATGTTCTAGAGGCATTTCTCCTGACGTTTCGCCTGCATCTATGGCAAGCATCCTCAGAGGTAGAGGTCTTCCAACAGACCTCACTACCTCTGAGGATGCTTGCCATAGATGCAGGCAAAACGTCAGGAGAAATGCCTCTAGAACATGGCTCTATAGCCCAAAAAAACCCA